CAAGGGATCAGGAATTCAAGTAAAAAGGAGGCACGGGGAAAGAGAACTTACAAAGTCGATGAACCCCAGTTCCGGCCGCATTGGGGGATGTCCCGGCACCGGATACATGAAATCAAGGATGATGCCAGCGTTGTCCTTCGAAGGCTCCATCACCTCCTTGACGCGCTGCGCCACTTCGGGGTGGGGGAGAGTGCTTCGTCGACAAGCACCGTCCCTTTGAGCGATGCTCCAGGCACCATCTGGTGTAGGGGAAGCGTGCATGCCATCAGCGGTGCCACCCTCCTCATGTGGTAGGCGCCGATGATCCCCGACCCCTTCATGCCCCTCTCCTTTAGAATTTGGAGGGCGGCAAGATGGTCCTTGATCTTCTTCTTATCTTTGTCCGGACACCCCACTTCCACAACTCCGGGACCTCTTTGATGATGCGCCCGGAGAACGCTGGCAAGGGGGTGGCAATGTCGTCCTTGACGTAAAACTAATGCAAATGCCACCCCTTGTTGGAGGTCGACAGACGTATTGACGGGTATTCGTTCATCCGGTTGTTATGGAGATAAATGCCGGCACATCCCACCGGCACGCTCAACTCTTGCTTCTCGGCCCGCTTCTTCAGAAGGTTGACGGTGAAGAGATACCGCCACAGGTCGAAGTGGGGATCAATCCCCAAGAACCCCTCACACAGGGTGACAAACGCCACAATGTGCTGGACCCCATTGGGAGTAAGGTGCTGCAACTCCACCTTGTAGTAGTCCAGCAGCCCCCGAAGGAACTTGTGGGCGAGGGTGGTGAATCCCCGCTCGTGAAAGCAAGCGAAGGACACCACGTAGCTTTCGGGCAGCGACGACTCATCCTCATTACCGGGCAGCCGCCACTCCTCGATGGCGGTCAGCGGGCAAAGGAGGCCACGATGAACGAGGCCCTCCAGGCGCTGAGGGGTGATGTCAGATCTGCACCATGGCTCCATTGAACGATTGGGAGGGGGGTGAGCGCGAGCTTGACGATGGCTGCGATGCGGGTGAGCGCGAGCTTAACGGTGGCTGCGATGCGGGTGTGGGAGGCTTAGGCGATTGGCGGCGGAGGTTGTAGATGCAAAGGCGAGGAGGCAAAGTACAGAACCCTAGGGGCAAACCCCTTGGTTTTATAGGGGCGACGGATGCGAGAAGAGCAACCACCCGCCTAGATCTCCGAGCCTGCCATGATACGCCACCACGTCACGTCGCGGGATATGCGCCCGCGATCCCTATCCTTTCCCACCAAAATCGCGCCGGATGTTTCGCCTTCCCAAGCAGACCAGGACTCTTTTCCCACAGAGGGGATACGGGTCAAAAAGCATTTCTTTGGCCCGCCTAGGCCTAGGAGTTCAAGGGCTGGCCCAACAGTTTCGACGGTCGCCCCAAAGAGGGATGGGCCCGCGAGTGGCCAGAACTCAGGCGCATGAGCCTCAGGGGAGCCTCGATCCGCAATCGAGTCCCAACCGGGCTGACCCTGGACGAATCCCCACGAACGGGATACTAGGGTTTCCTTTAAGTTATCCAGTTGTCAAAAACACCAAATCTCATAGTCATACCCGCGAAAGGTCCGAAATACCCCCCCGGGCGATTCTATCCGAATCACCCGGGGGCTCGGGGGTTACACCCTACGGGTGCGCTTGCGCGCACCCTCTGGCGAATCGAAATACCCCCTCGGACAATTCTATCTGAATCACCCAGGGGCTCAGGGGCTATTGTCGGGGACCTAATACCGGGGTACCCAATGAGGTGGAGCTAATAACCATCGAACGTTGACACTTCTAGTCAGACAAGAACGTTACTACACTTCTTGCCCGAACGACGGAAGATTGGTTCCGCCTCGCCCGATCCCTGAGGGCTGGCTCCGCCTCGCCCGACGTCCGAGGGCTGGCTCCGCCTCACCCAGCGGCTGGGTCTGGCTCCACCTCGCCCGACGGCTGAGGGCTGGCTCTGTCTCGCTCGACGACTGCGTCCTGCTCCTTCATGATGACGAGCACGAGGTAAGACAGGACAATCGAGTCAACTGCAGTACCAAGGACCATACCCTACACGCCTGCATAAAAGTACCATCAGAATACGACGGGACGGACGCGTTAAGCCCTTCCAGGCATGGCAAAGCCCGAACAGTGTTGTAGGTGCCGACTTTGGTCTTACAGTGTTGTGGGCGCTGCCATCAGCCCTCGGGCGTGAATCCTAACATAAGCATACGACAACCACTATAATCCAAGAGGGAACTCACGTCATCAACAGTAACAGGCGTATAGTCACTTCCCCGTAGAGTCACGGCTTGGCATCCCAACACACCGCACCGTCCATCGGGGGAGGATGGGACGTGACCACTCGCTAAAACGAAGCCAGAGCCCGGCCCTATCAAGATAAGTGAAACATGCTATCCCTGGCGTGGTCTGCCATGTCAGCATGGGCAGACTCAAGGGAAAAGGAAGACCCGGCACCTTCGAAGGACCTTCTCTACCTTTGATTTTTTTCTCTTTCTCCCATCTGTACTCCTGCTCTCCCTTGGTCTATAAAAAAAGGGCAGGGCACCCCACTAAAGAGACGGATCAATTTTATACACAACACTTCACACAACACATGACTAAGCAGCAACCAAGCTCTTGGCATCCTTTCGACCCTTCCATCGAAGACTTGAGACATGTCCTTCTCTCGACCGTTTGTACCCCTTACTACGAATCTTTTTTGGTGCTAATAACACGAGTAGTAGCAGACTGGACGTAGGAACATTCTGCCCGAACCAGTATAAATCTTGTTTCTTTTAGCACACCATCCGAGTCTAACGCGCAACAAATATAAATTTACTAGTTAGTGTTTGTTCAATACACCGACGTTCGGGTTTATGAACCCGACACAAGTGATGAGTAAATAGATGACGACAGGCTTAGTAGCGTATTCTAGTGATCATTAGGAGTAAATACAAGAAGTTTACTGACCACCTACCGACCTACGGACTCAAGGCGCTTTCAGGCCTATCGGGTAGTATTTGTTTAGTTACTATTTATTACGACAGGCTTAGTAGCGTATTCCGTTCTCGGAAGGCACACACACGTGGCCGCTTCTATCTTCTTTGTTTCTTTCATTCACGGTTTGGTGTACACACAGCTGGTGCTTGTCTACTTGACTGGTTCGTCGTCGCTGAAAGTCTCCCCCTTTCGAAGCAAAACAAGAGGTGACCCAAAACTAGAGGGAGCTAGAAGATGCAGTAGCAATTTGTCACTTGCTTGTTGTGGCCTCTGTGGTTCATCAGGGTCAGGGTAGAGTAAGAGCACAGCATGTACTCGTGTCGACCCGTCCCTGCCTTGTTTTGCTCTGCACCGCAATCGTTGTGGCGTTCCCTGTCCTCCAAGGAATGGTGACGATCGTGGTGTTCTGGATACAGTCACACGATCGTGGCCAGCAGGAAGTGAGCTGATTGCTGTAACTTGTAGGCACGACGCAGGATGCATGGTTAACAACGAGTCCCGACGGGAGACGGTGCTCGCGTTTCGGCGTGGCGTTAAAACGGAGGACCCTGAGGCCCGGGTATAGCTGTTCATGCAGCCCGAGGCACGACGGCATGGCACGAAGCCCGCTTTTTTAGCCCGACACGAGCACGGACCGGCCCGGCGACATGCGGGCCCGGGCTGGCCCGGCCCGAGGGAGCAGGCCGTGCACAGGCCACTTTCGAGCCCGTGGGCTAGCACGCACGGCCCGCCTCGGTGGCCCAGCGGCCCAGCAGCTGCCTCCCTCCCCCCCTCACCTCCTCCCTTCCTCATGCCCAAGCATGCCGACCCAAATGGCCCCCCCCCCCCTCCTCATATGGCCCACGCCCTCGCCACAGAGCCAACACGCCCCACCCCGGCGAACCCTAACCCCACCGCCACCCTCTCCTCCCCGCGCCAAGACTTGCTCTCTCTCGGCTCTCGCCTAGTCCCTCGCCTCGCCTCCTCCCCCCTCTCTCGCTCGCTCCTCTCTTCTTGACTCACGGCCAGGTGTGCGCCACCATGTGGCTCATCTCCTCCCGCCACCACCTCCCGGTCTCCCACCTCCACTCCAACCCGTGCACTCCCTACATGGCCATGGTCATGGTCATGTCGTAGATCGGCATCGTGACTCGCTCGGCACGTCGCCTCCCCGCCCCACTCTCTCTCCCGCACGAGTGCATGACTCGCCGCCCTACCGGCCACCGCACTCTCCCGACTCGCCTCCGCGGCCCCCAGCGGCGAGCCGCCGACGGTGGCTACCGCCGCCTCACTGCCCCGCACTGCCGCCGACGGTGGCTACCTCCTCCTCACCGCCACGCGCTGCTGCTCCTCCCTATGCCTCCTCTGCGCAGATCTAGCCTCCTTATCGCTCATCCTCCGCGGATCTAGCCAAGTCGAGGTGCGGAGAGGTCGGGGATGGAGAGGTGAGGTCGCGTCGTCCACAGCCTACCTGGCCTCCCCCTCTCTGGCTCTCTCTCTCTCTCTCGGTGACTCGGTGTAGTGGGCCTTGGGCCGGCCCGGCACGCTGGATTAGCCGTGCTTCTCGGGCCGGCCCGACACGAAAAACGGCCTAGCAGGTCGTGCCTGGGCTGTCGGCCAGACACGAAGCCCATGGCGGCACGGCCCGCAGGGCACGTCGTGCCTTCTCGGCCCGACTCCCATCGGGCCGTGCCGTGCTAGGCCGAGCCGGCCCGTTGGACATCTATAGGCCCGGGCGGGGGATGAACCATCCAAAACCACCGACCCCTTTCGTTTCGCCCCACGCATCCGGACTCGTGTTCCTCCTTCCCCTTCCTCTTCCCCTTCCCCTCCCGCCCTCCCGCAATCCCGCCCGCTCGCGCCTCCACCTGCGCCGCGCGGTATTTTTATACCGCGCTCCCCCGCCTCCAAGCAGATTACTCCTACTAGCCTACTACTCCTAGACTAGAGTAGTTCATGTGCGTCGCTCTCTCGACGCGTAGCCAGCGTGCGATTAACCGCTTTCTTCTAAGCAAAGCATAAGCAGTTGTCCGTAGCGATGGAGGTGTGCTGCTGCTCCACCTCGTCGTCGTCCGTCCTCGCGGGGGGCCACCGGCGGCGCCACCCGGAGGCTCGCGGCACCGGCGGGTCGGTGGGGCGCGGCGGCGGGGTTCGGGAGGGCGGTGGTGCTGGCGCACCCGCTCCCGCGCCCGGCGGCGGCCAGGACGGCCCCGCGGCGGGGCCGGGCGCGCAGGGCAGTCGTCGTCAGGGCGGTGTTCGAGCGGTTCACGGAGCGGGCCGTCAAGGCGGTGGTGCTGTCGCAGCGGGAGGCCCGGGGGCTCGGGGAGCCCGCCGTGGCGCCGCGCCACCTCTTCCTCGGCCTCGTCGCGGAGGACCGCTCCTCGGGCGGCTTCCTCTCGTCGGGGATCAACATCGAGCGCGCGCGGGAGGCGTGCCGCGGCATCGCTGCCGCCAGGGACGACGCGGACTCGGCCGCCGCGCCGTCGTCGTCCAGGCCCGGATCGGGGCTCGACACGGACGTGCCCTTCTCCGCGACCGCAAAGCAGGTGTTCGACGTGGCCGTCGTGCTGTCCAAGAACATGGGCGCCAGCTTCATCTCGCCTGAGCACCTCGCCATCGCGCTCTTCACCCTCGACGATCCAACCACCAACAACCTCCTAAGGAGGTAGGTTCTGTTATTTGTTTTCCATTATTAACTGATTTCCAGATCCACTGCAATCGATGACATTGACTTATTGATCACATTACCGCCTATAGTAAATGTAGTAGTACGGTTATATGCTTAGACCATTGTCTGTCTGATTACAGCATAGCACAAAGGAAGTTTGGCATCTAGTTGTACAGATAGGATATTGCCATTACCCTCTTGCGGTGGCCATTGTCTAATTTGTCACTACACGTGTTCAATTCTAGCTATAGAGTTTATTTTGGCAAAAATAAATTTCATTGCAGTACCATGATGGTGTGATCGGTAGGTTCATCAAAACAAAAAATGATATTAGTTATCTTCTCATCCTTTCGTTGTTTGGGTCTCATTGATGCATATTGTCGATTGTTGTAGCTTGGGAGCGGATCCCAGTCGCCTAGCATCAGTTGCGGGTCGACCGTCTCAAGCGGAGCTATAAAGATGGCAGAGAACCTGCCGAACCATCGCCTTTCAAAGTCCCAAAGAAAGCCCCTGCTGGAACCGGAAGATCTGCCTTCTCCCAGTCCTTGACTAAAAAGAAAGGTCAGGAGCTAGAAGTTCAGTCAAAGCTTACACTCATGTTTGTTCTACTGTAGGACAAGTAAAACCTCAATGAACACTTCATGCTATTTATCTTTTTTCAGATAAGGGTGCACTGGATCAATTTTGTTTGGATTTGACCACACAAGCTAGTGGAGGTTTCATTGATCCTATTATTGGCCGTGAAGACAAGATTGAAAGAGTAGTTCAGATAATATGCCGACGAACGAAGAACAACCCTATTCTTTTGGGTGAGGCGGGTGTTGGCAAAACTGCAATTGCTGAGGGGCTGGCTCTTCGAATTGCAAATGGAGATGTCCCCATTTACCTTGTGGTAAGCTTCAGCTTGACTTGCCAGTGATGATGGATCTAAAGTTATGCATTTGTGATCTGCTTTCAGATAAGTGGTATTCATATTTAAATTATTTGCAGGCAAAGCGTATATTGTCACTGGACGTTGGTCTACTTATTGCTGGTGCAAAGGAGAGGGGTGAACTGGAGTCTCGGGTTACTAATATAATCCGTGAAGTCCGGGAAGCAGGTCAGTCAGTAGTGCATTCTGAGATGTTACCAGATACGGAGCTTCTGCACCTGGTCATGAATGAATATTAAAAATCATAAGAACTTTATGCAGGCGATGTTATTCTTTTTATCGATGAGGTTCACAATCTTATTGGATCTGGAACTGTTGGAAAGGGTAAGGGTTCTGGTCTTGACATTGGCAACTTGCTGAAGCCCGCACTTGCTAGAGGTGAACTGCAGGTATTAGATTCATCTGATTTCTTGCTTAGTGCACTCGTTCTGTGTACTGAAAATCATACCTTATCATATTTCCTATCTTATGGACAATATTTGTTTGCATTTTTAGTGCATTGCGGCTACAACTTTAGATGAACACCGGATGCATTTTGAGAAGGATAAGGCTTTGGCCCGCCGCTTCCAGCCAGTATTAGTAGATGAGCCTTGTCAGGTACTGTGGTTGTCTTCTTATGAAAGTGTGGTAGTTTAACATGTAAATTTCTCTCTTAACCATTTTTGAAACTTTCTGCAGGAAGATGCTGTGAAGATATTACTGGGTCTTCGTGAGAAATATGAAACTTACCATAAATGCAAATTCACATTGGAAGCCATCAATGCAGCAGTTTATTTGTCAGCAGGATACATTCCTGACAGACAACTTCCTGATAAGGCTATTGATCTGATTGATGAGGCTGGAAGTAGAGCTCGGATGGAATCATTTAATAGGAAGAAGGAAGGGCAGTCTTTGATGGATAAGTCTCGTGTGTGGTCTTTGTGGGGCTGTACTGCTCACATGGTCCTTGTGGCTGTTTTTCTGCTTTTAGGACAGCATCTTAGACTAGAGGACAGCAGGACAGCATCTTAGAGGACAGCATCTTAGACTAGAGGACAGCAGGACATCATCTTAGAGGACAGCATCTTAGACTAGAGGACAGCATCTTAGCTAGGACAAAGATATTAGCATCTTAGACTAGCATCTTGGCATATGCTTATCGCTGGCTAGCAGCCTATAATATGTAACCCCAACCCCTCAAAGTTGGCATGGCATTTGTGTGAGTTTGTGTGAGAAATAGACAAGAAAATTGCTCAACTCCTAGTGTCATCCTCTCTCGATGAGAGTAAGAATTCTCCTACTACCAAGAGTGAGAATTCAGCGACTAACAACTGGTATCGGAGCCGTAGTATCCTCAGAGCTTCGAGCATCTCCTGCTCATCCCCTGCCTAGCCTCATAATGCCCCTGGGCTTGAGAGTAGCAGCAGCCCGGTCGCTCTCGCCACTCCTTCCCTCTCTCGCAGGCACGAAAGGCTCGTCTGGCAGCCCTCTCTCCCCACGCAGCAGCCCCCAAGAGCGCGCCATGTCCGCAGGCCGTCTGCTGCTCAAGGCTGTCGCCTCGAGCACGCGCGGCGTCGGCAGAGGCCGAACTTGCCGCTGGCAGAGAACGCGAGCGAAGCAGCGAGACCGCCACAAACGGCAAGGGCGCGCGAGGTCGGCAATGCGGAGCCGGCAAGAGCTGAGCGGAGGCGGAAGCAATGGCGGGCGGATGCACAGGCGTATGCGGCGGCAATGGAGGTCGAGGCTTCATACAGCAGATCGGCAGCTCCATTTCACGCGACGACACCGCCGACGAGGACCTCGAGCTGCTAGAGAGGGGAGGCGCGGCGCTGGCGGCGCGATGAAGCGGCAGCCAAGACGCCACGCGAAGCGTGGCGGCAGCCCACACAGCACGGACGCGGCCGGGCGGCGCCTCGAGGAGGCGCGCGGGCGGTGGTGCTCTGGGGCAGCCGCCAAGACGCCCACGAAGCGTGGCGGTAGCCCAGACAGCGCGGACGCTACCGGCGGCACTCTGGAGGAGGCGCGCGGCGGCGACGGCGGGACGGGTCGATGGAGAGCGCGGCCGTCACAGCAGCGGCGGGCTCTCTCCCGGATCTGCACCGTGGTTACCACGGGCTCCAGCCGTCGTCGGGGACGCCGGCCCGGCGATGGTGGCCTACCCTCACCAAGACCAACTACGCCGAGTGGTCATGTGATGAGGGTAAAGCTCCAGTGCGGCACATGTGGAGAGGCAATCCCAGTGCGGCGACGCCGACTTCGACCTATATCGACGGGCGCCGGATGCTCTCATCGCCGCAGATCCCGCCGAGATGCGCTTCGCCACCCGACAAGCGGACCGCCAAGGAGGCTTGGGACGCCATCGTCACAAGACGCATCGGCAGCCGACCGCTACCAAGAAGTCCACACTATAGGCACTTTGCAAGGAGGGGGAGAACCCGCCTTCAAGCCGGTGAGGACGTTGATGACTTTGCTCTCCGTCTCAACACTCTATTGCGAAGATGGTGCGTTCGGCGGACGACACCCCACGGCGAGGAGAGATGTCGAAAAGCTCTTCCGGCGGCCCCAAGAAGTACAGTGCAGATGGCTCGCTCGATCGAAGTCTCTTCGCTGGATCTCTCCACGATGTCGATCGAGGAGGCGATATGTCGCCTCAAGGTCGTCGACAAATGATGAGCCACAGATCCTCTCTGGGCCCATCACCACCGGGCGGGGAAGCTCCTTCTCACTCGGGAGCAAGTGGCTTGCCGTAACCAAGGTGACCGGAGGAAGGGGGAGCCTTCTTCCGCGACAGCGGACGCAGCAGCGTGGCAAGCCGCGCAATGCGCAGAGACGCCAGTGCCGGGCGCGAGGACGTCTTGCGGGTGATGCCCGCGAGGCCCCAGTAGCGGCCGCCACGGGCAGCACAAGCCGCAGACGCGAGACGACACTTGCCGCAATTCACGGCCACTTGGCCATTGGGCCAAGGATCGTCGACACCACGACGCGGCTAGGCCCACGTCGCCGCACAAAGTGAGGAGGAGGAGCTCTCGTTCATGGCACATGCCAAGATCGAAGCTACCTCCAACGCACCGGCGCAGCTGCTCTCCTCCACCTTGACGAGCCAAAAGCACACGCCTCCTCGTCGACAGCCCCGGAACGACAAAGATCGACGGGTGGTGCCTCGACACCGCGCCACCCATCACATGACCGGTCGACGGAGTTCTTCACCGAGCTTGACTCTAGTGTCCGAGGCTCCGCTCAGTTTGGGGATGCCTCTGGCGTGGAGATCAAACGCCGGCTCCGTCATCTTCACCACCGTGTCGGGTGAGCACAGTCGCCACCGGAGTCTACTACATCCCCGCATTGAGGAACTCCATCATCGCCTTGGGGACAACCGGATGAGAACGGTTCGCGTGTGGTGGTTGAGGACGGAGTCATGAGGATTTGGGATCGCCGCCGCCGCCTTCTTGCCAAGGTATCCGGCGTGCAAATCGACTCTCGCCCTTAACGTGCGGTGGCACAACCCTCTGTTCGCCGCTCGTCGGACGACGGCGTGGCAGCGGCACGCAGCGTTTGGGCACCTTCACTTTGAGGCCCTGGCGGCTCGGGCCACGGAGATGGTGCGAGGCCCGCTGTGCCTTGACCATGTGGAGCAGCCTCTGCGACGTCTGCGTGTTGACGGCGGCAGAGGCGACTCTCTTCTCAATGGGCGAAGCCGAGCCAAGGAGAGGCTCGAGCTTGTGCACGGGACTTGTGTGGCCCGGTGTCACCGGCCACACCGGAGGACGACGCTATTTCCTGCCGCTTCGTCGACGACCTCTCCCGCTACATGTGGGTGATGGTCCTCGGCAGCAAGGGAGAGGCTGCATGGACGCTTATCAGCGCCAAGCAGCCGCCGCGCGGAGGCGAGTGCACCGAAGTCGCTTGTCTTTGCTCATCGACAACGGCGGCGAATTCACTTGGCGGTGAATTCGCGTCGTCTGCATCAAGGCCGACGAGGACATTCAGCGCCACTACTCCGCTACCGCATGTACCTGGCAGCAGAAGCGGCGTCGTCGAGCGCGCGCAACAACCAGACGGTTGTGGGATGGCTCGGGCCTCCTCAAGCGAGGGGATGCCGGCCGCCTTCGGGAGAGGCGGTGGTGACGGCCGCTCTACATCCTCAACCGCTTCGCCTACCAAGGCGCTTCGATGGCGGGACACCGTCGACGAGGCTTGGCATGGGCGCAAGCCGGGCGGTCTCCCCACTTGCGGGTCTTCTACGCCTCGCGTTCGCCAAGGAGCTTGGCCACATCGCCAAGCTCGACGACAGAGAGCACTCGGGAGTGTTCATCGACTACGCGAGGGCTCGAAGGCCTCACCGTATCCTCGACCAAGACACGCTGCAGTGCGCGCCGGCGCCACGACGTTGTGTTCGGACGAAGGCGAGGATGGGCGTGGGACAAGGCGGTGGATCTACGGCTCGGCTCCGACGCATTTACTTCGCACTTCACTCGCCGAAAGCACGCCCACTTCGAGGGAGCTGGGGAGTAGGCAGCTCTTCTTCGACAAGCGCGTCTACCTCGGTCCCCCGAGCCTCCACCGACCCCGCGCTGCTACTCGACAAAGACCACACCCTCCGGCCAAGACCTCGGCTGCGATGAGTTCTTCACGGCTCCACTACATACCGGCGCGCCACAACTCTCCAAAGACCGACAGGCACCACTCCGGAGCACGTTTCTCCACTCCACCACCAGCTCGTGGTCGAGCACGACCGGTTGAGCTTCGCTACTCCGCTCTCTCACGACGAGGAGTGTCGACGCTGCACCACGACGGCGAGCCGTTGCGGTACCGTCACGATGGAGAACCTTCTCGGCGACCGGCCGGTGTCGCCGGACCGGTGCCTCACGACTGGAGGCGGCGGTTGCACCTTGCGCGTGTGACGACGGCGCAGCCTCGGCCGTATGCGCAGAGGCCGAGAGACACGCTGCATGGCGCGCCGCGATGCGATTGGAGATGGATGCGGTCGAGAAGAACCGCACTGGAGCTTGGCGACCTTCCTCGTGGTCACCGCGCGATCACCCTTAAGTGGGTGTTCAAAGTCAAGAGGATGAAGCCGATGCCATCGTCTGCACAAGGCTTTCGCTTGGTGGCACGAGGTTTCGCAGCGATGAGAGGGGTCGACTTCGACGACGCCTTTGCTCCCGTGGGCACGGATGGAGTCCGTCGACTCCTCCTCTGCGCTTAGCTGCCGTGAGGGTCATGGCGTGTTCATCACATGGACGCCAAGTCGGCGCCCTTAACGGCGACTTGAAGGAGGAGGTCTCACGCAGCACCACCCGCCGGATTTGCGATCCCCGGTAAGGAGGGCAAGGTGCTCCGCTGCGCGAGGCCTCTATGGCTTCTGGCGGCAGATTGAGGGCGTGGAATGCCAAGTTGGATTCCACGCTAAAGGGATGGGCTTGAGCAAAGCCCGCACGAGGTGGCCATCTACCGACCAGGCGTGGAGGAACCGCTTTCTGCTGGTGGGTGTCTACGTCGACGACTTGGTGATCACCGGCACCAAGGATGCGGAGGTGGCGGCATTCAAGGAAGAGATGAAGGCCACCTTCCGGATGAGTGACCGGGGCCTCTCTCCTTCTACCGGGCATCGAGGTGCACCGTAATGACTCGGGATCACACTTGACGGACCGCCTACGCCAAGCGTGTCGTTGAGCTAGCTGGGCTCACCGATCGCAACCCACTCACTCCGATGGAGGAGAGGTCAAGCCGAGCCGCGACAAAGACGACGGAGGAGGTGGACGCCACGCAGACTGCGGCGTCTTGTGGGGAGCCTTCGCTACCTTGCCCACACACGGCCGGACTTGGCATTCTCCGTCGGCTTACGTTAGTCGGTTCATGCAAATGACCGACGACGACGGAGCACCAAAGAGGTCATGAAGAGGATCATCCGCTATGTTGCGGGGACTCTCGACCACGGCCTCTACTACCCGAGGTGCCACAGGCGGCACACTTCGTCGGGTCTGCACAATGATAGCGACCACGCCATGCGACATCGACACCAAGAAGAGCACGAGCGGGATCCTCTTCTTCCTCGGCAAGTGCCTCGTTAGTGGCGGCAATGGTCAAGCGGCCAGTGGTGGCCTCTGTCCACCATGCGAGGCCGAGTACATAGCGGCCTCCACCGCTTGACTCAGTGCTCTGCTCGCTCGATTGCTTGGTGATCTCCTCGGCGAGACACTAGAGTGGTGGAGCTCTGGGTGGACAACAAGTCCGCCTGCCCCGCCTCAAAAGAACCCCGTGTTCCACGAACGCAAAGCAGCACATCCGGTGAGGTACCACTTCATCCGAGGCTGTTTGGAGGAAGGGAGCATCAAGGCGAGCTACATCAACACCAAGGACCAACTTGCGGACCTGCTCACCAAGCCCCTTGGGCGGATCAAGTTCCTTGAGCTCTGCTCCAGGACCGGGATGGTTCAACTCTCCCACAAGACGACGCACAAGACTTAGGGGGAGAATGATGGATAAGTCTCATGTGTGGTCTTTGTGGGGCTGTACTGCTCACATGGTCCTTGTGGCTGTTTTTCTGCTTTTAGGACAGCATCTTAGACTAGAGGACAGCAGGACATCATCTTAGAGGACAGCATCTTAGACTAGAGGACAGCATCTTAGCTAGGACAGCATATTAGCATCTTAGACTAGCATCTTGGCATATGCTTGGCTGGCTAGCAGCCTATAAATATGTAACCCCAACCCCTCAGGTTGGCATGGCATTTGTGTGAGTTTGTGTGAGAAATAGACAAGAAAATTGCCCCAACTCTTAGTGTCATCCTCTCTCGATGAGAGTAAGAATTCTCCTACTATTAAGAGTGAGAATTCAGCGACTAAGAGTCTTCAATTCTCTTGAAATCACCAGATGAATACTGGCAAGAGATAAGAGCTGCTCAGGCCATGCATGAAGTGGTAATGAAAAATTATGCACTGCTTATATGATTTTATCTTTTTGGTCCATCTAGTGAGAAAAGTATCTAATATTATTGTCTTTGATTACTCAGGTGTTATCTAACAAGGCAAAATATTCTCCAAACGAGAATGCTCAAGAAAGTGGTAGTGCTAACGTTGAAGCACCAAGTCGAGACAATATTGAGTCAACATCTGCTTCGTCACTCTCAGCTGATGAGTAAGTTTTATCTGTCAACATGTCTTACAAGGTAATCTCATGCCCTACATATCTTCTCACCAAAGAGCATTTTGAATGCAGACCAGTTGTAGTTGGGACAGAGGAAATTGCAAGAGTTGCCTCATTATGGTCTGGGATACCAGTGCAGCAGTTGACTGCCGACGATAGAAAACTTCTAGTAGGACTAGACGACGAGCTCAGAAAACGTGTCATTGGCCAAGATGATGCTGTTGTGGCCATATCTCGTGCAGTGAAGAGATCACGTGTTGGCCTTAATGACCCTGACAGACCTATTGCTACGCTGCTTTTTCTGTGGTCCAACAGGAGTTGGTAAAACAGAGCTCACCAAAGCTCTAGCAGCTAGTTATTTTGGATCGGTAAGCCAATCATATTCTGACCATTGTGTTATTATTTGCACAATGCTTATGATTGATTAAATGGAATACAGCCTGATAAGATGTTTGCTTTTGTTTTCAAAATAGGAATCTGCTATGCTTAGGTTAGACATGAGCGAGTATATGGAGAGGCACACTGTGAGCAAGCTCATAGGCTCTCCTCCAGGGTACATTGGGTATGGTGAAACTGGTACTTTGACAGAAGCAGTCAGGAGGAAACCATTTACCGTGGTATTGCTGGATGAGATAGAGAAAGCTCACCCTGATATTTTCAACATCCTTCTCCAAATCTTTGAGGATGGACATTTGACAGACTCACAGGTAATAATAGATCAGTGAATCCTGTTACATGCAACAATAGATTTTAAACAGTGGATAGTGGAGTTACTGAACCATAGGAGACAAACCCTATCCCTGGAAACTTATAATAAACAGTTAGAATTCATTATTTTCACTACAATTTATTTAATATACAAGCTATTTGAAGTGTCATTCAACACATGATTGTTCATATTAAATATCAATGCAATTTATAAATCATTATGCCACTCTATACCATATATTTTTAGAAACTTAAATAGTCCTGAGCCTCTCCATGTAATCTTGCATAGTTTTAGGATGTAACATAGGTAGTTTCTGATCATTTTTAAGTTCTGAACATGTTTTATTTACAATGGGACCTTGTGTGAACTGCAGGGCCGTAGGGTTTCCTTCAAAAATACGTTGATTGTCATGACTTCGAATGTTGGTTCGACATCAATTTCAAAGGGAAGACAGAGCATGTGTTTCTTGAAGGAAGATACCGAGTCAAGCTCATATTTCGCCATGAAGTCCTTAGTAATGGAAGAGCTCAAGGCATTTTTCCGTCCAGAGTTGCTCAATAGGATTGACGAGATGGTTGTGTTCCGTCCTCTGGAAAAGACTCAGGTTTGTTTCTTTTACATTTTGCTCTGAAGTAGTTTTACTGATAATTCATAGCCCTTTCCATGGCATTAGCCACTTGGCTGTATGAAGTTCATAGTTTAAGTAATAAAACTATTGTGCTAACCTCAGAGCACATGAGATGCTAATGGTAATAACCTCGTCATATTTGCAGATGCTGGCCATTCTTGATATCATCCTAAAGGAAGTCAAGGGCCGACTTTTGGCCCTTGGGATAGTTTGGAGGTGTCTGATGCAATGAAGGACCTGATTTGCCAAGAAGGCTATGACAAGAGCTATGGCGCTCGGCCTCTGAGGAGAGCTGTCACCAATATTATTGAGGATGTCATCAGCAAAGCGATTCTTTTTGGCGAGTTCAAGCCTGGTGACACGATACTGATGGACATCGATGCGGAGGGGAAGCCATGCATGAACCATCTGGACCAACAGATCGTCCAGGTCTCTGACCCAACACGGACATTCTGAAGCTCTGTGCCAGACTTTCTGAAGTTGTACTTCCAGTGTAGTAGATTAGGGATCTAATCTTTTATTCTTTCAAGAATTGAGATTATTAATTCTTTCATACGTAGATATATAGAGTAGTATTTCATCTTCATTTTGTACATATGTCAACCAGATGGTCCAGATAGGGAATCTGGTCAGTTATTGACGTTGTTTGAAATTTTTATCCAATGTATGTGTATTGTTGAATTGTTTCCTATTCAACTGACCATATGTATCGTTCTTTATGTTAGAAGATGACCGATCAGCCCTATTGCAAGGCCCAAGAGGGCAAGTATACACCATGTACATATGCAAAGAAGCCCTCCAAGTAGAGGGAAAACATATACACCTCCTATACATCTAACACCCCCCCTCAAACTCATGGTGGATCTACAACACTGAGTTTGGAGAGTAGGAATCTATGATGAGCCCCGAGTCTGCAGGCCTTGGTGAAGAAGTCATTCTATTTGAACCTCTCAAGAAGGCACATGGTGGAGCGCCACAACCAGATCATGCACTGCGATCTCATGTAGGAAGCATCAACGCCAATGTGTTTGGTGAGCTCATGCTTGATCGGTCTCGAGCAATCTTGATCGCACCGGTCTTTGTCGAGAAGAGAGAGAGGTGGAGTGCGTGGTGAGGCACCAAAATCCTCAAGAAGCCATCGTGAGCCATGTCACCTCCGCATCCACATCGCCGCCATAGCACGCACTCGACCTCGGCACTTGAGCGAGAAATGTTATGATCATTTTCTTGGTTTTCGTGCAATCAAGGAGGAGCCAAGGAAAACACAATAGGCGGAGAGAGAGTAGCGATCATAGTGATCACTTTCGCCTGTGTCGCATCGAATCGCTCAAGTGAAGGGAACTAGAACGAGGGAAGAAAAGGCGCCGAGAGATAGTTCCACGAAGGTATCGCAGAACACGAAGGAGGTGAGCATAGTGGAGGTGGGTAGGAGCTGAGACAAACTGACTCAAGATATGCACAGAGTGAGAAATGTCGGAGACGAGTGATCCCAAGGTAGACAAGACTCCCAACAAGGCGACGATAGCGAGTAGGATCGCAAGTGGTACACCATCAGTGGGTCGTAGGTGAACACCAATCTCCATAGGAGTATCAACAGTGCGGTGATCGGTGAGAGCAGCACGAGAAAGGAGGTCCTGAGTATATTTCTCCTGAGAGAGAAAGATACCATCAGATGTGGAGGTGACCTCAAGACCAAGGAAGTAACGTGAAGGGGACCCAAATCGGGACATAAGGAATGTCTCACCGAGACGCCGCTTCACAAAATCAATGTCTTTGGGAATCATCGCCATAGTGATGATCATGTCATCGACATAGAGAAGAAGAAGGAATGCGACCACGAGGGAAGTGTGAACAAAAGAGAGCGGGATCATGATCACTTGGTGTAAAACCAAAGATCGATGACAACAGAGGAGAAACGCTCAAACCAGGCCCGAGGAGCTTGCTTGAGGTCGTGAGAGAACGGCGCAACCGACAAACCAGTGCCATCGTGGGACAGGTATCACGGAGGTGGTGCACATAGACTTCCTCTCGCAGCCGCCATTGAGGAAGGCGTTCTTGACATCCAACCCCGGGATATCGACCAACGACGAACGAAGCAATCGCAAGAAGAGTACGAACAGTAGTCATGTGCGCCGACAGAGCGAAGGTCTCCCTCATAGTCACGACCT